GTTCTTCAATACAGGAAATAGTGAGGAGCCCTTTGTCAGACCTTGTTCTTGGGTGTACAGTTCCGACTGTAAAACGAAATAGGACATGCTAAGAAACAATGCCATACCCTACACCATTTGATCAACTGTAACTTGTTCTGTCACCCAGTGAGTTATCTGCGTTTAGGCAACGCCTTGCTAACTCTAGCGCTTCCTCTTTGGGTACGTTAGTAAAAAGCCAGGTGACATCAAAGCTTACCATTAGTTCATCCGGCTCAGTGGTGAACCCTGCTATCTTTTGAGCAAACTCGTACGTGTTCTTCACGAACGTGTTCGTTCGTCCCGCCAGAGGCTGCAATATTCCAGCCAAATATCATGCGAGTCCGTGCGTCGAAGAGCCTATAATATCGACTATAGGCCGCATGGGAACTTTAGGCTTATGTATCTTGGCTAGCCCATAAAGCCTAGGACGCATAGTCGATTTTGGGTAGAGACTATGCCATTTACCAATCCCTAGGGCATCCTTTATGACTAAATAGTTGCCAACCTCCGTTTTATTTTTCTTCATCACCGTCGTTACGGTTTTATTTTCAACTGACTTTACGCTCCTGTCTCTAAATGCTGTCTCATTATTTCCATATAATCCAATTTATTCATCACCGCCATTCTTTTTCCCTTATCAGCCTTTGTAACCACTATGCTACGATCTTTCTTCAAGACATCCAACGTGATACGTTCAGTTGGTGCCAGTTTGGGTTTCCCCGGTTTCTGCACCTTAATAGTATTCCCTAGTTGTGCACGGATATTCTCCGCGCTCCTCTCTGGTAATTTCGTCACCACACTTTCAGCGCTAGGAATTATCTCTTCTGTGTGTATCACAGGTTTGCTGACAGTAAAGCTCAAATCCTTCTTCAACAATCTACGTCCCGTTACATCCAAACCCCTTTCTGACAAATTAACTACATTACAGTAGTTGTCATTAGAGTCAGGCTTATCACTGAGGTCGGTGGCATTACGATGCGTAGAAAGCAAACAGTCGAACGCGAGGTACATATTTGTATTCGAACTCTTCCAACTGATCGACAAGTCGTGATTTCTGAGAGATTTGTGAACAATCGGTTAGTTTAGTTATGTACAAATTCACCTGGCCTGACGAAGCTTTTGCGTCAAAAGTACAACGTTGCCAATCAAATAAACTAACCGATTGTTCACGCATCTCTCGGAAGTCATTTCAAGAGTTCCTCAAAAGCCACGGTATACATCACGTGCAATCAGCGCCCTACCACCCAGCTTCAAACGGCTTGGCGGAAAGCGCCGTCCGGACGGTCAAGAACGGGTTACGGAAACAAACGTCTGCTCCAATGCGAACAAAATTAGACAAACTTCTTTTGGTCTACCGCACCATGCCAAACGAAACTATTGGGCAGAGCCCAGGCGAGTTGATGTTCGGACTGAGGTTGAGGACACGGCTTAATCTTCTTTTTCTTGACCAGAGGCTGCGTGCTGAGGCCAAGCAAGATAAATCTAAGAGTACGACCAGAGGGCTTCCGTTCGAAGATTCTGCGGGAAGGAGCTGGTCTACGTCAAGTTGCCCAACGAAACGACCTGGTAGCCTGGAGAGTTGCGCGAAGTTACGGGACAACATATGGAGATAGCATTACCTCATGGCAGAGTAGTTACTCGGCGCAGGGATCACGTCCACCATTGTTCCGTTTCGTTTTTGCCAGATGACGCGTCCTCAACGCAGCATACTGTGTTGACAAATGCGCAGAACTCTCAAAACTCAGGCCAACCGGAGGTTCAGCAATGTCGCCGTTCAACTCGGCTACGCCAACCCGTCGATCGGTACCCAGCTAGCTGGAGTAGTGCAAACTAAAGGGAGAATGTATGTAACATCCTCACTTGCTTATATGAGACTTGTCTCATAATTTCCACATTAACAAGAAATTTATCTGAGGGTCATCGAAAATCATTACTTTATGGAATGTCTTTTGGATGTGCTAGGGACGTTCATCTTGACCCCTGTCATTCAAACTGTACATGGATTTCTCCATCTCCTATTTATCAACCAGAACTAATTCGCCACAATGTCCGTATTTGAGATGATGAGCACTGCATTGAACATCATTTCAGACAAGCTGGCCCGCTGTAACCTACGCTTTTTATCTTCGCCATCGACAAAATCACGGAAATCGCATACAGTGGCCACGACTTAGAAGGTGTGGAGCTACTTGCAGACCAGCAACTTCTTGCCTTGTAGTATGCTGACGACATCACCCTAATCTGTGGTAGCTTCCAAACGTGCCAAACAGCACTGGATAGATCAGCATAGCAAAAGCTCGAGGTGCTTTTGCGAATCTCCGCCATCTGTGGCGCTGACCCGATCTCACTTTCTCCTTGTAGGGCAGAGCTTATAACACAGCTATATGTTCAGCCAACTTGTACGGTTGCGAAGCCAGGTCTATCAGATCGACAGAGATAACGAGACTTCTAACGTTCGACCATCGAGTTCTTCGCAGTTTGGCTCATGTCTGGCAAGAGTACCGCGTGAGCAATAAGCGTAATCGGCGTCACGCATTTGGTGCAGGAAAAGCGAGTGAATCGTTCAGTACCGTTGTATCGCTCATCGGGCTCCGAGAGCTGGGTCATATGTTGAGCATGTCAACACACTGACTCTCGCGACGTTCGTTTTTTGCGCGCCGCGGGGGTAGATGGAAGATGAGGAGTGGCCAAGCGATGACTTGCTCAAAAGAAGTGAATTCCCTATTTCCAATGATTTTAGAATGCAAATCAGTGTTGTATAGATTTGTATTGTGGCAATTTTTCATCTTTTACGTAAGTGTTTCTTTAGCTCATGCTCTTGTGTCGCGAGCCAAACGTTGCCACAATACAAGCCTACACAAAACTGGTTTCTATTCTGAAACCTTTCGAAATTTTGAAGTTCTAGTCGGTTTCATTCCAAGGAATGAATTCCATCACTACGAACTTAGCGTCCATTTGTGTCCTCAGACTGCCAGGCTGGGGTTCGAAGGACGATGAACACGTTTGCTTGGATACACTAGTTGACATGGCGTTTGTGTTGGGATTTTCTTTGTCCCCCTTCGCGCTCCTCTTCCCTCTCCAACCTCTATCTCACAGTGCTTAGATAATTTGACACTTAGCACTATATTACTTCTTAGTTTTTGTATTCTGTGATGTTTGTTATTTCAGCCTACATATATCTTTGGTAATGCAGCACAATTATCTGAAGTGTGCTTCTCACCTTCAGTTAACGTGGTGGCGTGATACAATTGCTGCTAGCTTCTTTCGCACAAGTGCGACAATAATACATCAAATACACGAGGCGCTGACCTCTAACTCGCACACGCTTCTCAACAAATTATTCAACTTGATTCATAGCCAACCAATAAGTGGCAGAATTGCGATCAAAATATTCACTTCCTACCTTTGGTAGGTCCAGTTGACAATGCTCAGCAATGGGTTGTTCAACAGCCGATGATAAGGGTTCGTGTTCGCCTGCGGAGGTCTGGCATCCTTCAACAACCGATGTATGTCTTTCACACCACTCTCTGGTACTATCACACTGCTTGGGCAAACCGTTACTGGGCTTGGTCTCTTCTAATACCAGGCGCCTGTAATGTTCGACTTCAGCTTCGCCTATCAACTGCTTTTTTCATTTGGCTAGTTTCAACCCAATATCTGAGGCATTAGAAACGATACCAACTCTGCTACTACCCATAGACCTATGTCTAATACGCAAACTAGAGCGGGAAGCTACATCATCCGTCGCAACAGCAAGTTTCGACTTGCCGAGTATCATCAGTATTCTCCTGCTTCTTTCTTGAAGGCTTTCTTCTTGATACCATTGATTTTCATCCAACGGAGTGCGAATCATCCTGAGACGTTTGAGCACTGTTACCGACAAATCGGTCGTCGAACTTGAACCACACTTAGCACTAGATCAATTCAAAAGTCAAAGCCGAAACTGAGCCATGGTGCTATTTACATACTGTCAGACAGCAATTTAACAACAAACCTCAAACAATATCCAGGAGTAACACCGAAATCGTCCCATATCGGATGCAGTCCTTGCGATCGGAATGACCGACCTCTACCTCAAAATGAACGGAGGTCTCAGTAGAGGTTGCGTGTCGCAATCCAACCACACAGCGCGTTCTCTAAGTCCAACTTTGAATATCCAGACCAAAATATGTACAATAATTCGCCTCTCAAATGCAACCTGCTGTGAAGCCAGGCCAAACAACGCAGCGGATAACTGATAAGTGGAGGCGAAGCAGACGGTCATTCAGAATGTATTTCCTCGAAGTGATCAATAGTCAATCAGTCAGCCATTGAACGTGGAACACGGGTGGGTAGGAGATTGAGTCTAGCCTATACTCACCCAGACCCTGAACATTGCCCGCGCACAAGCATTCGATGTACGGATGGAATGCGGTGAGGGACAATCAATTGAGCATGTGAATGAGAGTATGTGTGTGTCTGGACGACAGTTCGGGACAGAAAACACAAAGGAATTAGGGACGGGATCTGTGGCATGCTGATGCAACTAAAAGTTTGTAACTGAGTCGTAGGATCGGCTGGAGTATCGATAATTCCCACATCAGGTAATCGAAGCAATATAAAATAGTGAGTGGGCGCAACGAGTTTGCGTAATCGTAGGGAGTCAAGTGAACAAATTTGAGTAGTGTGTCGGTGTTCATAATGTGAGTAAGAAGCACGACACCTAGTTTTGTCGTATACAACACAAAATGGGTGATCAATAAGTTGTCGATTATCGGGTATTGGAGAGAGACAACAGGGATATAGGATCCAACAGACTGAACAAATGCATTTGTCCACTGCAATCATGATGATAATGAACGTTGCATTGCTTTCTATTGACGCGTGCCTTTTTACGACATCGAGGTTTTCCCCCTCCCATTAGAGACATACCGGTTGTTGACCTGTTGCTTTCCGAATACTAGCTTCACTAATGGACAACTTTTGCCCTCCTCTTTCAGCTGAAGAAAGCGCCAAGGTAGACTCGGTGTTTAACAATGCAATTAGCAATCTATCCGATGAGGACAAGCAGTTGCCACAATTTCAGCGTTTGCTCCCCTCACTGCGTCGTGGTATTGGAACTCATCACAGTGGCTTGCTACCAATTTTGAGGGAGATAGTGGAAATTCTCTTCTCTAATGGCTTTATCAAAGTGAGCTTGTTTCCATGTATGGAGCATCCGTCTGTGCTGCCTCTCAGTCTCCGGTTTTGTGTCTGATTCTGTCTTTACGGCATTCGACTCCTCTCAAGGTTGAGTCTGATTATTTCTTTCTCGCAAGATGCTGCCTCGTTTCTATTCCTCACCAACCACTTAGTTTCTACTATGTCGCACATATTCGTGTCACTTATCACAACCTGCTTCTAACTGCGGTCTATATGGCATGGTGATTTGCAGCCAGGCGCATTTCGTATTTGTTTCATCAGTATAATTATTGTGACAGGCTATTCTTTCCTTACTTGTTTAGACATCTAACCGATCGAATGACGTAAGTGTCGCCGCCCTTGGACCAGAGCAGCTATCGGATGACAAAGGAGATTTTCTAGCACACGGAACTCATGTAATCCAGTTTGTTTCAACTTTGTTCTCTGCTCACTTAAAGGGCGAGTCAACGTATGGTAAGAAGCGCCTATGGGGAGACACCAGTGTTCTCGGCTGCGGATTACTTCTGCGATTACGTGATCACTAATTACTGGGAGCATTTGGTTGATTTCGTCGAGTTTGATTTGGCAGTGCTTCATCGTATGCATTCTACCTGTGTATAGGTCTCCATCACATATGAATTTCGTAATATAGAGGCTGAAATGTGTTATGGTGCAACATTTCACCATCCTTTCCAACTCACTGGGCGACTTTGGTGTTACTCTTAGACCCCTCTGGGTCATTTGTGTATTCATGTTGACAACCGTTTGTGTGCAGCCAATTTGACGACTTCACCCAAGGCAAATGCATGTGGGCAGCGTTAAGTGCTACTTCGTCGCGGTCGCTACTTAATCTGTCTCCGAATGTAGCTTCAAACTCACCTCGTTGTTAGTTAAGATATCTATTTCAGCTATACTTCTAATTGTTCGAAACTCTTGATATGTGGGTTTAGCTCTTAAGTGGACTGTTCTGGCCTAAATTCCTGGCTAGTTTCTGATTCCAACTGTACACTAACCGTCGACTGCTATCAAATTGCACCTGCTTCAGGCCCACTGGACCTCGGTGATCCATTTTTAAACGTATCTCTTCAGTTTATCAACTATCATTGGTGCACCGGGGTGCAGTGGATCATATCGCCCTGCATCACTTCTCCAAACTGTATTAATAGTACTATCAGATATGGCTGGCAACATCTAGTTCCGGATTTTCCTCTCAATGCGGCCTCCATGTGGGCAGCCACAGAATGCCTGCGTCTACAAAGGGACCATGGGTTGTTTCCGCTGCCTCACCCACAGCTCCATCCAGGCATACCCCATATTTCCAGTGGAAACCCGAAGGAATAAGACCGGGGGTGTGTGGATGGGAGCCACGTTTCATCAACGGAGGCTTCCCAGACTTTTTCAACATGCACAGTGGCAGCAGCAGCATTCGTGTGTAATTGGTGAGTCACACATACCAGACGTACCAAGGGCGGTGGCTGGGCCACAGTCCGCTCTACAGTGGATGCATGGAACCACTATTTGGGCCTAGCAAGGTCGCAAGGACCGTGCACCCTGTCCGCCAGCAACGATTAGAAATCGCCTGGAGGCACTAAAGGCTAACAAGTTGTGGTAGTAATAATAAGCCTAATAATGATACTTTAAATGGAATGCGCAACAAGTCAACTCATCTGATAGGATAACTAAGGTTCCAAACTAGCCTGACAAATGCAATAGCTCTGCTGACTTCTTGCTTATGCCCTATCTGACTTGTTAACAGACCACTGTGTCGGCCGGTTCTGAAGCCCCCATCCAGCCTGAATACGTTTCTATAACTCTCAGTATTCTTTCTGAATCAAGTCATCTAGGTTTTATGCACCAGCCTAGGTGTGTTTTCAAAGATTATCACTGTACACACACTGAAACATGGCGTGATGGGAATATCCTGCCCGAGTAAATAGATAGATCTAGGGAGTGGACTAGACAGCGAATGGGGAATGGACTTGGCAGATTCGCTCTGCTGATTGGCTGAAGTTCGTGTGTGCCACTTGGAGTTCTTCGTAGTAAGTTTTACTTAGTCAAAGGAGAAACCTCATCTTCGATGAAGGCCGCGGTTTAAAGATGTGCGCAAAAATATTCTATCGAAGCGTTTTGCTTACCATCCTTAGTATGCTTTCCGTTGAACTGCTTTTACTGATTGGACCGGTTGTCATTGAATGACCGCCTTTTATAACACATGCTATCAATGGAACCACAAAATAAGGAGCAAACAGAAATTTTTTTACAGTTACAACTCAAGGAACCGGTCGCGAATCATGTGGCTGCCTGTCAGTTGGTCGATAAAAACGTTTGACAGGTATGGAAAGATGGCATCGCCATACAGCAAGGCGTGAAAACGCAAATCCAACTTTTGAGCTAAAAAGGAAACGGATCTCGTTTCCAGTAGGTCAGTTGCCAGACGGATAAAAACGCTTAGTTCGCATTATATAGAAGAGGTATACATGTTTCATCTCGCTACTGCGTCTGGTAGTATGCTTTATTGACCGCACCATTAAGGTGTGGTTCTTTGGAAGGAGATCAAGAAAGGTTTCGCTAAAACGGTGCATCCAGGGATGAAGGCTGTATGTAGTCTCGAATCGAATAGTTAAACTACAGGGTGCTGAACAGGTGAACTACATTTCTGAAACGTTTCACGGAGATTTCACACTTCCTTTTTGGACCGAAAATATTGAGATATTTGACGGTTGATGAATCACGTGTGCTTTCGCCCCTGACATTCTTCGGTAGGATGATCTGTGATTTAACCAATCTAGATGCACTAACAACAAGCTATAGATGCCGGTCAACGGTACTTGCAGGATCTGATCCGAGCAATCCGAATTACTCCAGTGTAAGGGATACTTAAGTGCAGCCATGGAGAGTTTCTTTCCACCACTTGACGGATTTCGATGTCACCCATTCGGTTTTCCCAACAAGTGTGAGCAACAGTTCACAAACATCAGTAGGTGTTGGTGATTATTCTGTTTTTGTTTTCATTATGAGGCTTCTATGTTTCTGATCCGGCTTCTTTGAGTCGAATTCATACCTAACCTGTTAGCTAATTTGAAAAGCACAGAAAGAAGACGAAGGCTGTTAGATGCATGCATTTCGTATTGTCTCCTCAGTGTCATTAACAATAACCGATTTGCATAGATATAGCTAACAGGGGGTTAACCAGACAAGCTTAAGGTGCAGCACAAATGACGGAAGTTCACACTTACGTCCAAAACAGCTTTAGGCTGACAAATAATTGTTTCTGAACGCACAATGCTGGCTTATAGCGACAGCCTCAGCAAACCGAAGGAAGCGGGGATTAGTGTGACGCAACACAACTTTAAACACTGAACCCAACTCTATCCGGTGACCCGAGTCTAATAGGTGTCTGCCTATCGAGGAAGCCAGTGGCTCTGCGAACATGGAATCTGACGAGGGTAGGCAATCCGAGCAACTTCACGTCGAACCCATCTTGGTACATGTTCCTTTTTTCGAGAAGTCAGCGTTCTATTAGTTCTGCCTATGCAACTGTTTCCGCAGTCACATACAAATTGGTATACACAGTGTGAGTTGGCCCCAATAGGCTGAGCTTCCTTCGTTGGAGGTATGGACAAATTTCGGGTTCATTTGATGACGGCAACGACTCGGATAGAGTGGTGACGGAAACAATGTGATTTAGGAGGGCGTTCAATGGCTGGCAGACACGAAAAAACTAAAAGTTCCGCGGACATTCTACTCGACTGTATTGCTTGGCGAACTTGAACTATTGGCCTCTAAAATTCTATTGTGACTGAGTTGTAATAGATGCCAGAAAACGGTTGTGGGTCCTCAAGATCCGGTTGGCCATTATTTGGTCACCACGTAGGCGCCGATACCGGCTGCTGTACAATCTTAGTCCTCAGTCTAATCCACACAACTTAGATAAAAGAGATGGGAAGCACTGAGTTGTGCTCGTCGAACTGGATCCAAAGAGCGCACGCACAATAATGTGTGAGAAGAATTAGCATGGCAACAGCGGGCGAAGCGAGAACCGAATTAGGGTGTGGCCTTACGGCGTGAGTACGCTTTCACATCTCAGCGCAGCGACGTGCGTTGTTTGCGCACCGAGGCTGTGGATGGAAGAAGAGGACCGGAGGCCAAACGATGATTTGGTCAAGAGGAATGAAGTCCCTCACTTCGAAGTTGTGGTCGGGCGATGTTTCCCGTCTGCAAGTCTGGGATCCAACAGACGATCAACACGTCTGGTTGAATACACTTGTTGTCGGGACGAAGAGCCGACCTCAATGGTGTTTGTGTTTTGAGTTTCTTTATCCCTTATCATCCCGCTTATCTCCCTCCTCCAACCGCGATCTATTTCTTGAGGCATAATATATTGCTATACTATTATTCATATTATTCAACACTTGACCAATAAATTTTTGTCAGAGTGCAGAAACACCTTGGTAGCAATCAAGGGAAGAACTACGAAGTCTTATGTGTTGTGTGCGCAGAAAGCTTACCGGTTGCCCAAGCCGAGGAAGAGGGTTGGCTTAATGGCTCGCACCCCGAACCTTCGGTCTTAAAAACCTTACCCGAAAGGAAGCGGGACGATTTATGCATATAGCTGGAGCCTCCAACCAGCTGCTGAATACGAAGACCGTTGACAGTCAGGTAGCACATTCGCCTTCTTTGTGTTCGTAGCAGTTCACACAGAAGCGGCTGATTGTCCGCGACTGCTTACTCATCTCGTTTCCAAAGCGAACAGGACTCGTCCGCAGTTACCTCCACAAGGAAGGCATTCCCAATCCGATAGCGTACAGCTCCGCAGTGTGTTGCCTGTATTTCGCATCCTACGATGTTTTGAACCTTGTTTTTTATTATCTTTATGTATTGCGGCACAATAGTTGGTGTTTTTTACCTTCAACTAATATGTAATGATGTTGGTGATGCCCTTCTGTAAACATACACTGCTGACGTAGCAGCTTTGCAGGGTAGACACACTGATACGTCTGCATATTTATACATGAAAGGAATGTGTCTCGCGTCTTAGCAATCCTCTGCCATTTAACGTATGCTATGCTTTACGTATTTAAAGTATTTAATCTACAGGACAAAAGAAAGCATCCGCAGTATGCCGGTATGACGCAATGTCTCTTCATAGCCACGCAATCACCATCAGTCGTGTGTGCGCTAAGAATACTTCGAAGATCGCCCAATACCCTACGCAGGCTGGAACTCGCGACCCCCGGGTTAAAAGGCAGACGCCTTGTCCTTTCTGCCTCGGGATCTGATGGGGAATGCTTTTTATACGTTTCTTGTTGAATCTTGTTTCAAGAGAACGATCCGCTGACTATTAGTCTTTTCGAGAGGTCCCTCGATTTGCATTTTTTCTTCATCACCTACATTTTCTTTTTAAAAAAGTTTTTCATCCCTTATGTTCAGATTCTCTACGCGACCGAAACATTCGCCATGGGTTTAAACATGCCCGCGAGAACTGTGGTGTTTACGAACACACGCAAATTTGATGGTCGTGTGTTTCGCACCATATCCACTGGAGAGTACGTGCAAATGTCAGGTAGAGCCGGGCGTCGTGGCAAAGACGATCGTGGTGCCGTGATTATCATGCTAGATAGTAGTGCTTCACCGTACGAAACGAAGCAGCTACTGTTGAGTCAACCCGAGCGTTTGAATTCTTCTTTCTTCACAACAAACAATATGGTGTTGAATTTTCTGCAAATGAAGAACACCAGTCCAGAGATGTTACTGGAAAAAAGCTTCTATCAGTTCCAGACTCGCTGGCTCGAGAAGCGTAAGTGTCCATTTCCCCATGGTTTTAACTTGGCCAGTTTCTTACCATACTTGCTAACAACGGATTTTGTGCGTCCGGAAAGAGTCATGTCAGTGACTACTTCGCCATGTCCAACTATGAATGTTTTTTACACAAATATTTTGATCTACTTCTCTAGTAGCATTTTTGCGCTTGAATTGCGCTGTGCTCAATCACTTAATCCCATCCAGTGGTACTAAAGTTGACGGGTAATGGATCGCCGTTTTTTCCCCTACTACTATCTAGTTGTACAGACTGTTTTTGGAGCTCATCGCTGCATGTTTACTTGTATTGCGCTCCCTCGCCCTTGGTTGTCCGGAGTGTTCCTCGCGACACGTGACTTGTGAATGGTACACCGTGTTATACGTGACTCGAGTTACATCTGATTTGCAGGCATCCGCATGCTGGAAGAGGAGGCACGGGCTAGTCAATTGCCTCCTGAAGTTGAATTGGATCAGTTGCGCTCTTGTATAGAACTGCGTAAAGCATTGGCATCTGCACAACGGGAACAGTGGTCGCTGGTGATGAAGGCCAACTGCATTGCCTCGTTTTTGAAACCGGGACGGGTTGTGCATGTAAGTCGTGAGAGAATCGCCTTTTAAAATTCCTGTAAAGTCCTTTTCTAATTTAACTCAAGTATATCTCTCTCCATTATCCATGTTCGAAATGACTCGGACTGCTGGTCGGATATTCAAATGTTCATGTATCCACCGAGTTTGGCAATTGGATTGCAAACGTTTCATCATCAAGCGAGGTGGCATAATTGATGCTTTAGTTTTGTTGTGCTCATCAACCCAGACTTTTTTCTCAAGAATTGTTCGTTTCATTCATCGTGAAAGTAGCTGTAGAAGTTTTGTTTCTTTCTAAGCTGACTTGGGTAGCAGAGCATGAATTTTTTCTAGTGTTGTCAAGACTTATAGGATTTCGGCGGTGTTTCCTATCACTTCCAAACCCCAACATTCGCAAGAATTGTTTTACTTGGTTTAACTTGGTATCGTCTTTGACACCAGCTAAACATTGCTTCACAATTGACCACATAGTGCGATTGTTTGCATACCTCTCGTTCTTATCAGGTTCGTGCACTGAACGATACCGATTATGGATGGGGAGTGGTGATTAATTTCAATCAAATACATACGCAGAATTCGGATAAGCTCGCCGAATCAACTGAGGGCTCGACCGTCATGGTAGAATGCCTTCTCCAAGTGTGCTCGATGATCCCGTTTCACAACATTAATCATCTTGATTCTCACAAGGACGACAGACCAATCCCTTTGGCTATGGTGGAACCAATTATTCCAAATTTCAAGATCTCTGAAAATGACTCTCTGCACAGTAAGGTTAACGCGATACGCCTGATTTCAGTTCCAATCTCCTGCTTGGCTGGGCTGTCCAGCGTGTGCTTGCCAGTCTCAAATATCCTCGGTCACCCCGGCAAGGGCGCCCCACAACCCGACTGTGTGCTCAGATGTATTTGGGAAGAACTAGATCAGGCGAAGAAAAAACACAGTGGCTGCTTCCCCCTGTTGGATCCTGTGGAAGACATGCGAATCGATGACGAACGGTTAGCTAACTACAAAGAAGTGGGTGCATTACATCCTTTTTATTTATGCTGTGTACAATTCTTCCTATCACACACTTTGCTACTGGTCAGGAGCAAATTTTAGATCTGCTTATCACTCCATTGAAGGATCAGACTATGTATATCTTTAAATTAGCTTTTTATCATTCCTTAACAGTAAACTGACGTGTTTCTGCTAGCGAAATGGAAGAAATTCACTGATACCTTTAGTGTAATTCAGCTATCATTTGATCTGTTACCCGAAAGTCTACTCAGTTGCTTTGTTAAAATAAACGACCTGTGAAAAGCTCAGTGACTGCACCATATCCTTATGCAACTGTCCTTCTTAGTGAAACGTAACAACTATACACTAGAACTACGTCTCACTTGATTGAGAGATTTTATTGTTACTCCCCTGTCCATAGATCGCAGGTTGAGTCATGTTCACTTCAGAGCTCTCACTACAACTGGGATTCTAAGCGTTTATCAGACTGTTCCAAACAGTGTCTGCGATACAGGACTGAATCGTTCCATATCCGAGTGGTCCAGGTGTCCGGCTTGGAATCCACTGATCGTCATTCTGATCCTGCACGGGCAACCTCGCCATTATCCCTAGCCCACACGCGGCTGCTGGATCTGCGTGGGGGCGGAAAATCGACACAGTGTGCCGGCGTGCTGCTGGTGTCTTTCTTATCTATTTAGCAGTGGCTGTATTATCATTATTATACACGTTTGCGCGGGGTGAGAAACACGCGAACTATTGAACAACACTACAATTCCATTAGATCAGTGGTTCTCCACTTTTTTGTGGTCGTTACCCCTAAAGGGGGTTCACTATAAGCAATTGCCCAATACTTTTATTTATTTTAAATGCTAATTATGTCTATTAACCATTGCACTTTACTTTGAATTGCGGAAAATGAATACTAATTTTAATTATTTTTTCAATTAAATAAAGAAAACACCTACTTTAGAGTAATTTTTATTAAATCAAGTGGTGACGTAAGTTAGTGAGATGGTTGACAGTGTTTAGTTCCAACAATTTATTGTATATCCTAATTCTTGCTCCAATTTCATTCGCTTCCTTGCATTTGCGTATGATCCCTGACCATACATGGACAGATGTCAGTGGCACCTCATTTGTTTCAAAAATCTCATCCAAATCCTTCCTGGATGACAGATTCTCACCTCCACTCTGTATCGATACTTCCTGAACACTAACCCCCGTATTGTGTTTTCTACCTTGTAAACATTCGCTCGCTCCTTTACCTAATCGGCCGACTCATGGTCCTATCTTAGTGTTCACTTAACTCTGTACTTCATCCCGACGAACAAATGCCTGACTCAAAAGAACCACGATCGACGAGCGACCCGATAGAAGCGCCATCTACCTGCGCTGCTTTGCAGGCTTGTATCCTTATTTTAGGCAATAAAATTTATTCTGAAAGTTGTCTAATTCAGTGATCACTCACTAATGATTTGTCACTGATTTCTAACCATTAGTGATTAAGCAGTTAGTTAAATGGTTTGCTACTGATGATTTTTTTATTAGTTTTGTTTGGCAACAGATTGATGATCTTGTTCTCGTACTTATATTTACCTCCCCCCCGTAAAATTCCATTTTACCCCAAAAAGCAACAGTGCATTATATGGTACTAAAATATGAAAAAGAAGATAACTAAGAAAACAAAGCAAAACGGAAATAATATCACCCTTTGCTTTATGTTATGCATTCACGGCGAGATTATGGTTCCAGGGCGAGACTAAGCGGGGCAGGGCGGAATAAAGTATATCAGAACACAAGCGCCATTGAGGTCGGTTCTTCGCCAGGTCAAAAGGTGTTCCTCATTTTCCAGACTTTTGCCAGCCGATGCCCTAACTGAGGCCAACCACGGAACGCGGGCCTTCATTCCTCTTGACCATGTCATCAATTAACCTGCCGTCCTCTTCCACCCAGACCCCGTTCATGCAAACAACGCACGTCGCCGGAGTCGATGTGTTGACATTGTTGACATGGCCCGGCCCTCGTAGTCTGGTGTATTATCTATTGGCACTGAGTGATCCACATGCTTTTTCTGCACCAAATACTAGACGCGTACCCTGCGCACTTGATCTTCCCGCCTGATGTGAGGTAAATTGCGATGACACCGGTGGTCGAACTTACCTAGCCATTTATGTCTGTAGCTTTGAGGAGCCCAGGTTCGATCACCGTTAGTAAGATGGTCTAGACAGGGAAGCGGTCATTGTTTGGAACTCAAGCTTTTGTTCGAAAACTACAACGCATGTAGCCGCAGTTTGGCACTGGGCTACAGGGAGTCCGTTAGAAATAGTGAGCCACTTTCACTCCAACCCGAAGCCTGGCGAGCCCGGCGGCTTCTTACTGTTGACTGATGTAGTATGTGGCACTAATGGTACGGATTTCACCACCCAACACTGTTCATTGGATTGTTGAGACCGGTAAACGATCGCACCACTTGGATGTCCAGCATCATTACGATGACACCGTGTAAGCAGTGTGAAGAAGCTCTGCGTCTTTAGCCACTGTCATGAGGGGACATCGAAGGGGAAAAAATTGGCTGGTATCTTTTGCGTGCGAATGATAAATGGGCTCGTTTAATGTACTAGCCTACGGAGCACGCACTGGACGCAGGTGTGGTAACGTGGAACCGATATAAATGGGAGCTATAGTGGGTTCGGATGAGTTTGCGGTACAGGTACAAGAAAACCGCACATAGCGAACGCATAACTCATTACTAGGAGCACGATGGGATTGGCATTGCACCTATCTCATCGACGAGTGGAAAACACGACAGATGCATATCAGTTGGAAGAGGTCAGTGATAGTTGAATGGTGATACGAACATGTGTAATAAAGCGAGTGACTGGCGGATAGATGATTGGACGTACAATCGGCTGGAAGACCGGTTAGACAAATCAGACGGAAGCTTGAGGCATCACATCGGTTGAAGTTTTAATCCAACTGCCTACCGACTTGGATGACCAAAACGACTTCAAACCATGGTCAACGGCGTTTTGCAAAATAGAGGTAATTTGAGTGTCGTAAAACAGTCTACTAGAGCCATTTGGCCACCGGATGTGCGTCCGCGCACAGTAATGATGAACTGAAAATGTGGGCCAGATTCTCTCAAGCCAAGTGGTCTCAATGACTGAGGATAATTCAGAAACAAAGTTCACTGGTTCGATGCCACTTGAGCGGTAGCAGCAGCGATTTAAAGTGTTAGCGAACTGATAGCACGATGCACAGGATAAATGAAAAAACACATCGAATGCACAACAAGTAAACGTTGACTAGATACCGACGGGGAATCGGTAAAATCGCTGGAACACAAACGGCTCCAACGTAGAATGGTCATTGAAGTCTAAACCCTATAGTGATGTCATTGGAAAAGTATCGAACTATATCTCCCCACAGGAGTGAAAAAGGTTCGTTCTATGCAGCCACAGCGGATCGACCAATGTATCAATATCCACGAAGAGTAATCATAACTTTATCTCAATTACATTAATGCTTGACGGACATCGGTGTGCAAAGTTATCGGCCGCAGCCTTGTCGTTTAGTCGGTACCCCGAACAAATAAAGAGCAAGCAGCTTCTCTATTGTGTCTGGCCGCATTCGCAGACACTGGTGCTGCAGCAGGTAAGCGTACTACCCAATTTCCAAAGATCGTTCAATTTACTCCATCACACGGTTTTATTCCACGTAGCGTTTCAGAACGGTGCCCCCTATTAAACTGATGAACATTTTAGTTACTTGCTTCATATGCTTCATATCACGACAGAATCTAGCACGAATCGTCTGTCACCTTCTCTATGCTTATCTAATTTCAGTTTTGTTTTATCCTAAACTCCATCATGCAGTACCCAGTTTAGTTCAGTTCATCACTGCTTTGCGTGCCGAAGTATGGTGTGTCTAGTTACCCTGACATACTACTACCAGTAATAACACATTTTTAACAGAATTGTGCACCAGTATAATAGTCCGAAGTGTCAGCTAACTACCAGAAAGAGGAGGACAAAGGCAATTGTTCCACCCACTTCCTGATTGTGCAGTAACCACTAGTGTAACCGATCTCGAAACCCCCATCCAAGAGGAAGGCTTTGATTTTCAATCCAGCTCAACGCTCCGGTTGGTTTTTTTCTCACTAGCGTTGTTTCGCAGGCAGCGATATTCCGACACACAATCTGCTGACTTCTGCACGTAACGGCCATGTCTCTGACCCACACTCTAATGCTGACCTTAACGCAACAACGTAACTCTTTCCCTAGACTAACGCGCTTACATCCCACCGTCTTCATAATCGCTTGAAGCCTTGAAAAGTCCCACGAGCCTTAGCACTCCGTGAGGTACAGAGGCCACCGCAACTGCCTAGCTGAGTTAGCAGATCGACAGCTACGATCGGTTGTTCACTGCGTTATTCGAACATCCTGACTGGTTTTCATCCTGAACGTACAGAACACATGCTAAAATTTGCGGCACCACAGGCCAGCATATACAGGTACGGTTGCGTACTATCTGGGTCCTTTTGAATGGGAACATATTCGCATATTCCAGTTTCGATAATTGATCAGAGAACCTATGCCCTATTGGAAATGGACGAATGCAGGCCAAATTCCGTTTATTACCATTGCGATCGCAAGCTGCGTGAATTGTGATGTCCCACAATGCTGGCAGTAATGTCTTGTACGTGGGAAAACCGGTTGATCGATAATGCGCAAGTTACGACGAGCTTTAACATGCATAGTGTTGTTACCGGGGTGCCATGCATTTGACTTGGACGATGAGGAACTGCAAGGAGTTGATGAGTTCGCTTATCTTGTTAACTGCAGTAGTGACGACATGCATTTTAATGCTGAATTTAGTTCACCTATTGCTGAAGTTAAAACTGCGTTCATGAAGCAGGGACAAATATTGCACCAGGTGAGAAAGCTCGCTTTTAAAAGATTGTGTACAGAAGCACGGTGAGGTTCTTTTATTTCTACATCAGTGAAATTTGTCCCCTT